ACTCAGGGGGAAGATATACGCAAGATATACTCTGTTTAAATTACTGCAAGCAAAAAAAAATAACTGACATACATGCATTAAATCAAATGCTGTATAAGGTATTATATATCATTGCTTGTGCATTTGATTATAATAAAAGCAAGTTGAATATGGTGAGGGATGACTAAGCCTCCAACAAACAGTAGTGAAGTCACTAAACCCATGTTTTAACCCAAAATAATCCTAAGCCATCATCTTAGTATAACAATTAAGAGGCGAGGTCACTTAGTTATGATTATAATAATAATAATAAGAGCTGAGGTGGATTGAATGATGGTGTAGATAAAAAATGAGGTAGAAGTAGGCACTTAAACTTATGACTAACAGAATTCGCAGCTGTGAGAGAGTTTTAGTTATGTTTAGTGTATCCAGGTCCTATCATGTACACCTTATAAGTTAGAAAAGAGCTTAGTGTACCAAGTTCTAGCTCTGGGCACTACGGGAGTTGAGAAAGAGAGCTTAAGGATCCAAGTCCTAGTTTTGGGAACTTTGCTAGTGGAAAGAAAGCATAGTGTAGCCAAGGGCCTTTTCCCAGCAATTCAGAAAAGAGCTTAGTGTAACCATGTTCCAATTTAGGAGCTTCAACCTCATCCTCCTGGACTAGGCTAATAATTAGTTTACATTGTTAGAAGTGAACTTACAGGTACACCACAGGCAGTTTTAGCTTGTATGCCAAGGTAAAGATGAAGCTGACAGATATGAAAATGAGAAGGGAGAAATATTGGTGGAAGGAGGATTGTTTAAGTGTTTATTTTGCGAGGGTGGAAACTTACAGCTGGTCCACAAATGGAGTCTTGACCACCTCTTCTATGTGATATATTTCATAATCTCAATGTAACCTTGCAAAGAAATAAACTTCGTTTTTTTTTCTCTCTCTGCCAGAGATGTGTTCTTCTGGGTGTTTTACAATATTTAAAATTTAAAACAATCCCAACCAAATAATTACTTAATCTGTCAATAACAATTAATATTATAGTACTGTATTTTATATATCTAAAACAAAGATATTAAATACGTGTTGCTAAAAGCAAATTTCAAAATATGAGAAAACTCACCAGAAGTCTTTCAAACTCTGGGCCGGTTGGCATTACGATTTGTAATAACATTGCCCCTTTTGACCTGAAGAAAAAAAAAACATATATATGAGACCAAGGACTATAATAAAATTTATATCAGTATTACATGCCAAGGTTAAGTCAAAGATTAAAAATTACACTATAAATAAAGGAATATTGTACATAGAAACAGATTTCTGTGTGCATTTGGGTTTGCAAATCCACCTAATTGTATTTGTAAGGATACAAATTCCACCTTTAGGCCCTACATCTTGTATCTGTTACATATCTATTAATAATAAGATGGAATGATGGGATTTGAACTTGTGGTCTGCTGCACCACTAGGATCCATCTTTCCTCATTTCAGATTCTTTTATCTGTACAAAACCGCTATTTTTTGCATGATCAGACATTTGATAGTTAAAAACGGAATTTACAATAAAATAATGTATATAAACTAATGGAATAAATAAAAAGATGAAATTTCCAGCCCTGTATTAGTACCTGGACCACAGGGGGGTAACTCCATTAAAATTGTTCCTTTTACTTGTTAAGAATTTTCAGCACGTGTTAATTGTTCCAGGGATCACTGCCCCTATAATCTGGTCCCAGATCAGGAAATACAATAGGAATGAGAAGTATTTAGAAACACTTCGGAAAGTGAAGGAAAAGCGTATTTAACACTGCAGGATACAGCAAGTTGCTAGCTTCATCAGTTATCAGAGTAGTATGAAAGTGTCCTAGAAACTAACTGCCAAGGCAGACTACAAACAGTGCGAGAATGATAAGTCTTCACTCACTAAATGCAGCCAGTGTAAGCAAGATTCCATAGGCTATAAAGTGACTGTCATTCCTTTCAGATTTTATAAGGAAGGGGAAAAAGTCTATTAGTATACGACCACAACACTCAAAGTGATGTTTAATCAATGCCAGCACCCGCTGCAAAGTTCCTGTCTGAGATAACAACTGCTAATAACTGCACTGCTGGGGTGAGACAGACTTTATTAAAATCCTTCTTTGGACCATCATTGTGTGCCATGAATAAAAAAGATGGGAGGATCAGGCTTTTTAGCACTGGTAATGCCCTCTCGCTGTCTTGTAAACATGGACATCAGAAGCATCTACCAAAAACTGTGAAGCTATTTTAATTAAAACAGCTTGGCTTTTGGATTTTTCAGGGCAGTGAAGCAGTGGGTGACCCCGCAATGGCTTACATTAGAGACTTATCTAAGGATAAGAACTTGTCACTCCTATTGAACATGCTCACGTAGGGCCCAAAGGCTTGTGTGAGCATGTTAGAAATTTGTAGAGGCAAGTGATTTTTATGATATAACATGCTGGGGGGAGTGTGAGAAAGGTATAATTTATAAAGGGATTCAGGGAAAATTTGGGAAGCTGAATGGGAGTCCTGGAGGTGGAAAGTACAGTACAGCACAGTTGGTCAGTCGTCACGTGAGGTCACAGGCCCTGAGCTGCTTGGGGAGTAGTGTGGACGGGTTTCAAAGCATGGCTTGCTTTTGCAGTGTTTTAAAAATTTAGGTTGGAGAGTTGAAGGGAGAAGTCTTGCTTCTCCAGGAGGAAAAATTTGGAGGCTGAAAGTTCACCTCAATGGGGTTTTGGGGGCCGGAATGGTGAGGTGGCTAGAATGGTGGAGGGAAATGAGGCTACCAGCAGCGAGGTGCAGTCTGTCTCTCACTGCGAGGAGCTGTAGGGGGGAGGTAGCAATGGCTACCAGCAGTGAGGTGCAGTCCAAACAACTGCTACAAGTGGCAAGTGGTTCCAGTAATGGGGAAAAGATCAAAATAAGGAAAGTTAAGAGAGAAGATTTGAAGGGAGAAAAATTGCTTCTCTGTCTTCAGGATTTAGTGTACTTCAGTGGGCCCTTTAAGGTAAAGGTACTACTTCCCCTGCAAATAGAAGTAAGCACATCCTTGTGGTTGGTGAATCACAGGTAAGATATATGGACCGTGCTTTCTGTAATAGGAATAAGAAGGTAAGAGATAGAGTGTGCTTCCCTGGAGCTGGTGTTAGTGACATAGTCAACAGGTTGGATAATATCATGTCAGGTAATGGGAACAGGCCTATTATCTGTCTCAGTGCTGGTGGAAATGATACTGGGAAGGGTAGGAGAGAAGAGCTGCTAGATAAGTACAGGTCAGCTATAGATTTAATGAAGTCTAAGGGAGGGAACCCAATCACATGTAGCATCTTGCCTAGAAGGGAAGTGGGCAATGAATGGTTTTTTCTAGGCAATTGGGGTAAATTGCTGGCTAGACGATACTGCAAGGAACTTGCAACCCATTCATTGACAACTGGGACAACTTTCATGGCAAACATGATATGTATGCAAGGATGGGGTACATCTCTCTGGGGCAGGGTGGTAGCACCTGCAAACTCAATCTAGAGGACCACTGTTGAAATGCCTAGGATTTTAAACTGATAGAAGATAGAGGTATGGGTGTGTGTGAAAAACAGGTTGCAACACTAGGGTTGAAAACAGTAAATGTATAAAAGACATTCATCATTAAGTATAAATAAAGACAATAGATCAGGTCAGCAAACAAAGGGAGACAGCAAGGGCAGCAAGGGACTAGCTCCCTTAACCCGTAAACGGGCCAAACGTATATATAGTTTTTACCGCTAGTGCCCCAAACTATACATACCTTTTTTTGTCTACATTCAACATTGCCCCGATAAGCCTGAGTCACCTAGACATGAGAGAATGGGTGTGTGCACTCACTGTGCA